ACAGTCCAACTCTCACATCCATACATGACCACTGGAAAAACCATAGCCTTGACCAGACGGACCTTTGTTGGCAAAGAAATGTCTCTGCTTTTTAATATGCTATCTAGGTTAGTCATAACTTTCCTTCCAAGGAGTAAGCGTCTTTTAATTTCATGGTTGCAGATGAATGTTTAGAATGTCCTTTATTGAAACTCAAAGTACTTTTTTTTTATCCTCGGAAAATGTATCGTGCTTGAGAGTCAAACTGGCTTCTGACAAGTTCTTTTCCTACTTTGGCTAAAGTACTATTTCTTGACTGATTTACTAAATTATATTAGTAAGAATTTTTATTATGTCAGGCAAATAAAAAATATTAATTGCCAGACCTCAAATGAAAAACTGCAGGTATGAGAACATTTTAATGCAGATTTTCTGTTGTTTGATGGTGAGATGAAGAGGCATGAGGCGAGCGAGCATGGCAGGGTGAGTGGGATCAGACTGGGGGCCTGAGAGGCCTGCTGAGGAGCTGGGTCTTTATGTGAGTCCATTGTGGAGCCACCGCTTTAAGCGGACATCTGATAGGATCTGCTGAGTTCATTCATCCATAACCCAGTCGGGGCCAACCTCCAGAGTGCAGGGTACTGTGCTTAAGGCAACCACAGAACAGAAAAACAAGGCCCCTTCTTCATGGGCTTTGAATGCTGGGTGAGAAGAGATAACTAACTTTGGCGGGAGGGGGCGCTGTCACTGCCTATTAAAACAATGGAACTGGAGGGGGGTCACGGGGAGGGGTTGCTGCTTCAGAAACAGAGGTGGAGAGGCCTCAGATGAGGTCTGAGTCAGAACGAGGAACCAAAATCTGCACAAACAGCAGAAGCTGCCGAGGAAACAACTCCTGCAAAACCCAAGGGTGGCGTGAAGCTGCTGGGGGGCAGAGCCAGCAGGTGTGGACAGAGGAGAGAGATGGTCTGAGCAACGAGGTTGCTGAGACTGCAGGCTGAGGGGCTGGGGAGTCACGACCATAGACCCAGGGATGCCTCATGTCTCGTTTCCTTACTTCTTTAAATCAAGTCTGATCCTGAGTTCTGTGGCAACCGTGTCAGCCCGAGAGGCTGTCATCTGCCCTGTGTCACACAGAGCCCTGGGGCCAGTGTGGGGGGCCCTGAACAATGAGGGCTGAAACTTCCATAAAGAGGCATCTGCAGGCTCAGGAGCCTGGCCCTCTGCATGAACTGCCAGCCCTCTCAGAGGGCCTCCGCCCCTTCGGAGGCCGGGGCACCCCAAGGCTGGGGAGGCCCAGACCCCTTCTGCAGCCTCCTCTGTGCTCTCTCCCCTCCCCCCAGCAGCATCCCCAGGGGCAGGTGAGGCTTCTGGAAAACAAAAGCAGGAAGTCTGCCTGCCTGATTCCTCCTGGGCACCTCAACCCTCTGGGGCACAGGAGCACCCAGGCCTGGCTCTCTGCCTGGAACTGGAGCTAGGATTAGGTGGTGATGACCATACAGGCAGTCTTGGAGGCTTGCCCTGGCTTCAGTGTGAAGCAGTGAGCTCCAGGGGCAGGAACCATCAAGATACTGCAGGGGTGACTGTGTCCGAATGAGGGGTGGGGTGGGGGAGGGAGGCTATCTTCAGGCAGAGGGGTGTCTCTGCATTCTCCAGCTTCCTCCATCAGTACCAGCAGCACCAGGAGGATGGGGGGGTGGGCGCTTCTCTCCTCATCTCTGCTCTTCGAGCTCTCATTTCAGAAGCCAGATGGCAGAGTTGTAGCTGCCTCCATCCTGCCAGCACGACTTCAAAATAAAAAGATGTGAATTTATTTTTTGTAGGTTAGGAAAAACCTCTAAGAACTCAAGAGCCACAACTCCTAACCAGCAGCTGCAGGCTTGTCTGTGGGCACTGTGGCCTGGAGCTGATGCATCTTCGATAGCAGCCTGCTGCCTGGGGTCCGCCCTGTTGCAGGAAGGGGGACCCCTTCCAGGGCCCGAAAAGGGCTCTTGTCTAACACTCCAAAATGAATTGTCCGAGGAGACACTTGTGCTGACAAAGCAAGAGATTTTATTGGGAAGGGGCACCCAGGTGGAGAGTAGGGGGGTAAGGGAACCCAGGAGAACTGCTCTGCCTCCTGGCTGCAGTCTCAGGTTTTATGGTGATGGGATTAGTTTCAGGGTTGTCTTTAGCCAATCATTCTGGCTCAGAGTCCTTTCTGGTGGTACAGGCATTGTTCAGCCAAGATGGATGCTAGAGAGAAGGATTCTGGGAGGTGGTCGGACCTGTGTGTCTCCTTTTGACCTTTCCCGAACTCTTCCAGTTGGTGGAGGCTTATTAGTTCCGTGTTCCTTAACAGGACCTCCTGTCATAAAACAACTTATGCAAACGGTTACTATGGTGCCTGGCCAGGGCGGAAGGTTTCAGTGTGCTTCCCCTAACAGCCCCACCAACTTCTCAAATTCAGAGGTCCCCCTCCTGACTCCAACCCTCCCTTCGTCAGCTCCTCACAACCGCCGGCCCTGGACACCGTCAGCAAAAGAACAGCTTTCTGGATCCAATGAATAACCTTTCCTGAAACTGATTCTACCCCTCAGGTCTGTCACCCCTGACGTCAAGCAGGCGGGCAAGAGCAGCCTGTCCCCTGGACCTTCCCCTCTCCACCACGCTGTCACAACGCAGAGTCTGGGAACAGCCCTGACCTCACTGCACGAGAAGCCTAGGGTGCTCAGCTCCAGCAGCCCTGCCTGTCGAGTCAGGGTGGGGCCGACAGGCCTCTACCCACAGCCTTCTCAGTGCTCCTGCTGACCAACCGACCAATCAACCAACCCTTGGAAGTTCACGGGAGGCTGTGTGGCTTCACAAGGCCTGCAGGGCAAGGAGCATGTATGTATTTCATTTCCAAGTTTTCTCCATGTTGGAGTAAAGCCCATGAAAAAGCAGAAAGCAAACTTGTGAAAGAGCCTTTGTTTCAACAGATCTGTAGGGACATCCAGAGAGAGGGCGACATGCCCTTAAACAATAACTGCACCAGCCAGAAATGGCAAACTTATTCTAGTTTGCTACATTGATGTTAACAAAGAACACTGCACACTCATTTCAATTTTTTATTAAAATACTTTTTTGTTCATAGGGACAACCAAAGGAAAAAATACATAATTTTATATGTAAAATACAATAAACATAAACTCTTGGGAAAGCAGAATAGATTTTAAAAATCTTCAATGAAGATTTCATTAAAAACAAACTTTAAATATGTGGCTTTTTATATTTACCTCATTTTCCAGAAGTCTTGGCTTCTTTTCTCTATTGTGATGCTATTCTATTAATAAAGTTATTCAAATATCCTAACATTTTATCGAGTTTGCTTTCTGAAACTTTAGAAATCATATTTCTAAATGAATGACTCTCTTTTATAGCATCTATGTATTTTACTGCACTTGGATTATCATTTGATTTGGTACTACTGTTGTGAGCACAGTCTTGGTAATAATTAGATGTTACGGGGGGAGGGGCAGAAAAGCACAGACATGTCTTACTAAAGGACAGAAACTTTTATATATGACTTTTAGAACACCTACTGGTTTAAGATTTAATTTTTTTGGATCTAGTTATAAAAAAGGTCACAAAATGATTTTTTATTTTTTTTTAAACCAGAGCTTTAATATAGAAGTGAATTGTGCTTAGAATGATAATAGATGGTATAAATTATAGTAGAGCTATCAGTTTCCCAAATGCTATACTTTTAATTTGGAAAACTATTGTTTAAAATCTGAAATACACTATAGAATTGGAAATGGAATTGTTTAGGTGAATGCTTTAACTCCTTCATAAATCAGAAAGTTAGATAAATTTGAATGTAAAACTTACCATTATATTTAGGGATAATTTCTATTGGGAGAAATAGTGATCAGAAAAATCAGTTAAAACACAACATGGTTCAAGAAATTATTCTTCCAATAAGTGATATTATATTTTAGAGTTTAATAATGAACATCAAAAAAGGAAGATAAATGCAGTTTAAAAAAAAAAGCTTGCTGACATATTTATGGAAAATTTAGCATGTTGTCAATAAACACAAAAACATTCCTCTATTCCTAGGTATAAATGATTCTGAAAAACAGTAGTGGAAATGAAGCAGCTGGCTGCAGATATCTTTAAAATTTTCTCTCTTAAGTTCAAGAAAACCTTCGGTTTTATAGTTATTAGTGAAGAAAGGGAGCTAATGTTTGTTTTCAAGGCACTTGTAAACAGAGGCATTCTAGGTAAAAGTAAGAAGACATCCCAATGTTTTCTCATCTGAAAAATACATCCATGAGCTAAATTTCAACTTTTTAAAAGGCTAAAGTACCTTGAGTGTTCATTAGAGTTATCTGAGAGAAAAGGTATCAAGTCTTTATATTTTAGGAAAGTTAATCATAATATCACATGTGATCTTGTAACTACTGTTCAGATAATGAATACAAAAAGCATTATCTATTTTTATATACTAAAATATTTAGATATACAAAGACGTATTCCTAGAAAGTTATTTATAATTCAAATATATACTTTTTGAGAAATTAATAATTTTGTAAAGCTAAGAGAACATAAACATGTATGTTTCAGTTTCACCCTTGAAGACCAAGATTTTACTACCAAGAAGGGCACATACTGTTGAAGCTTATCTTCATTGACACAATGTTCTGTAGTGTATTTAGAGTTAATGTCATCTTGAACAGAATTATCTGGGGGTGGGGGGAGCAGGTAGCAGTTCATAATCTTAACCTTCTACTGTGTGATTTCCTTTGTTTAAGGAGCACACTTGATTCAGATACAAACCTAAAGGAAAGGTTACAAAATAACAAAATGATGAATGTAAATAGTTTTAAGTTTGTTTCTGTTAGAATCCCCATTTTCAACCCTCCCCGGTTCATACCTGGATTCTCTGCTCTGTCCCCTCTGACCACCCGTCCACTGCAGGACGTGGCTCTAAGCCTGAGCGGGCTCACTCCCCCGTCCAGCGAGCACAGCACTGCCATCTCCACACAAGGGGCGCCATGTCCCTGGAGTCCAGGTGGCAGTGGGTTCCCATTCCTGGAGCTCTTTATGCTGGCACCTTAAGTCAGAAAAAGCTCTCCCTTCCTGTTTACCGAGCCGTGCTCTTCACAAAGCCTCAGGTGTGCCAGGCAATTCTTGTAAAGATGCTTCATATGACCCACACCAGCACTCTGGGCCTGGGCTGGAGGAGGAGAGACTCTCCCTACAGCTTTGTCGTATGTGGAGTGCAGGACTGAGTGCTCCAGAGAGTTCTACATTGTAAAATACAGTAAACGTTTACCTTCAAAAACCAATGTAAAGAGGTTTCAAATTAAACTTTTATGGTGATCTTTTGGTGAGATCTCAGAATGATCTACATGAATATCTATCATACGCACAGAACGGATAAATAATACCAGGCACAGTGGAAAATGGCAAACAACTCTAAAAACTCAGTGTCCCAGGAGTAGTACAGTGAAGAAATCATAACTCATTAAAATGCTCTAAACCTTTGACACAAGAGGCTTCTGGAATGTGGCAGAAAATGACAGGAGGCTTTGTGTTAGAAGCCTCTCCTCTCTGCAGGCATTCTCTATGCACTTGCTCCTCACATGACCAAGGCTGTAGGTGTTTAGAAGAAAGGGCTCCCACCAGCAGCAGGCAGGAAGAGCAATTAGAATTGGAAGTCAGCACAATCCTCGATTTGTCAGACTTTAAAAGTAACTCAGTCCAAACTCTTTACATCTTCTCAACCTGCTGCATTTGGATGCAACCAGTAGACATTGCTGAATAGCTTTCCATATCATACCTCTGACGAAACTGCTTCTGTCTATACATCTTCTCCTTCCTTAAAACATGCAGTTCATACATTTGACAGTTTTGCTACCATAGTCGATACACTCTGGACCGATGCACTCGCAGCAGGCATTATGGAACCAGCGATACTTGGAAGCACCCATGGACTCGCAGGATATTTTACATTGATGTATGGACATGCAGTCATCAAAGTAAACCACAGTACACATGTGTTCTGAAAAACCAAAGATTAAGTAAGGTTTCAGAGCAATGAGTAGGAAAAGCAGGAAATGCTTTAACACCTAGCTGAACACTACTAGCAAGTTCTTTATCTAAGCTCTCTGGCTGTGAGCCTGCCCAGGACGGTGGGTGAGGTGTGGGGAAAAGAACACATCTGTTAATCACATCAAGAAGGGAGTCTCCTGCTCCAGCTCAGACAGAGGGCTTCCTTAACCAGTTCCTCAAATTTCACTCTGACCTGGAAGGAGATCATTGGGCACCTCCAATAAGGAGAGGATCCTCCAGCTAAAACAAGTTTGGGAGATACTGTTCTAAACTTATACTGAGAATTTACAATAAAATAAACTTAAGAAATTCAAAGGATGCAGTGTGGTTAGCAATGTGGCACAATTCAACACTGGTTATTAGAAATTACCCTGGCTGGTGTCTCTAGTAATGAGCTTTGTGCTTATTAGTTCATGAACTTGAATAATCTTTGAGAAGAACTTATGAATTATTTAACATCTAGCATGTTGATTATCTCGGAGAAGGCAATGGCACCCCACTCCAGTACTCTTGCCTGGAAAATCCCATGGATGGAGGAGCCTGGTAGGCTGCAGTCCATGGGGTCGTGAAGGATCAGGCATGACTAAGCGACTTCACTTTCACTTTTCACTTTTATGCACTGGAGAAGGAAATGGCAACCCACTCCAGTGTTCTTGCCTGGAGAATCCCAGGGATGGGGTCGCACAGAGTCGGACATGACTGAAGTGACTTAGCAGTTAGCAGTAGCATGTTGATTATCTATATTTCAATAATGGGAAAGTGGTAGTAAGACATATTTGTACATTTCTGAAGTTTCCCAAGACCCAGAATTTGTCTTATAAAGCACTTTAACCTGAGGGGAGTTACGGAGTCTTACTCTTAACAAAAACTGATCTGCTTTTACTATTGAGGGCTTAAGTTCATACTACTTCAGATAGGTAGGCTTGTAATGGAGGGCACAACAACAAAGGCAAACAAAAAAGCACAAATTATACTGCTTGTGCGATACGTCTCAGATTTTAAGAAATAACTGTAATACTCAAACCTGTCTTATCCTTCCACAGTGGACCTGTGTGGAGAGTTTTACTTGGAAACATCACAGACTTTATGAAAGTTACATCCCTCTTACATTCCAAAGTTCAGGTATGACTTTGCTCACTATTACATGTTCCTAAACATGCTTCTCCAAGTCTTACACGTCACTCATTCAGTTTCCCTTCTGACCAACAATGCTCACTTGCAGAGCACTGGCTGGGGTTAGGCTACACCTGGAAGTCAGGTGTCTGTAATACCAGCTGGCTCATTACAAAACTGAACTGATGGCCTGGCATCATTCGTGACATCAATGCTATTATAGAAACCTGGGCTCCTAGCATGCTCCAGATGTTACCTGATGATGAACAGCTCTGCATAAGGTAAGCAACCCTGTTGTTGTCTCATGAAAATAACAATGAAAGTCTAATGCAAATAAAATTAGAACCAGGTTATCTATTTTTCAGTGTAGGCTTTATCATCAAGAGTCTGAAGGAGTTGTGAGAACAACTCCTTGTTTACTCAGGGATGGGGTTATTAAAGTCCAGAAAATACTTAAAGACTATACACACTCAAAACCAAAAAGCTACTCTAAAAGATGTTAGAACAGGCTTCACAGACCACATAGAAAGCAAGGGGGACAAGAGAGAAAAAGTCGCCTTTGGCAGTTACCTTTGTCACTAGAATACGGAGCATGAACGTTGTTACTGGGAACAGACACGTTTTGGTGGTGGGGTTGGTTCACGGTTTCCAAAAATGAAACCAGGTTCTCGTGATGTGAGAGCTCTTCTGCAACAGGGAAGGAGACGATGTTCCAGTTCAGCTGGGTGTCTCCTTCTGTGAGCGCGCGGAAGAGGGAAGGGATGGGCTCGTGAAGCTCCTCCACGGTGCTCTTCGAGGTTGGTGGCGTGTCGCTATAGTTGCGAGGATTACACATGCCTGGCGGTTGGGGCGGGGGGATGGGAAGGAAGGCAAAGAGAATAAAATTTCTTTTTCTCACTGATTGAAATGTCATGAGATATTATTAGGTAGTGCCTTGAAACCGAAGCTCCAAAATAGTAAAGTCAGGTGCCTTCTAACATGTACACAGACACTTTCCTAGCTTTTTGGCCAAGAAGCCTAGCGGCAATGACACCCTAGTAACATAGAGTACACCAAGGGCCCAGATCTTGTTTTCTAAATACCTATACTTGGCTAAGAGGAACAAAGCTCCTTGGAGAAAAGAGTGACTCCAGGGGTGGGTTAGGGAATGTCCAAAATGACCCTGGGACACCCTTCTGTGCCAGAAAGTAAGAAAGTAATTAATGAATGATGGGACATGCCAAAAGACATGGGAGGCAACCTGAAAAGGCTCCCATTGGCCAAACTGACAATTTTAACATTAAAATAAATACTGACAATAATGGATTACCACTCTATACATAAAATAGGGATTTATGAGTCTTTATATTATAAATAAATGAATTTAAAAATGGAGAAGGGAAAGCTCTTCCTTTTGGTCTTCTAGTCATAGGAAACATAGAGGACAGAGCAAAAAGTTACATAATCACAAGAAGCTCTCAGTCAGATCCAGAAGGTGGCATATTTTCCACCAGAACTCTCTAGTTCCTTCATCAAGTCAATGGAATTTTAAAAGGTGATGAGGGGAGGTGGAACTTTTTTAGAATAAAAGAAACTAAAGAAACCTAACAAGCAAATATACTAAGTGGACTTTGCTGGATCTTGCTTTGACTAAAACAACAATAAACAGCCCTTAGGTAACTAGGGCAATCTGAATAGGACTGGGTGTTAGATATGAAGAAGTCCTGTTAAACATGTTAGCTGTGGCACTGATATTATGTTATGTAAGGAAACTCACTCTTTCTTGAGATGAGTAACTAAAGCAGTTAGTTTACTGATGTACTGAGGTACAGTAAAACTATGTATTTACTTTCTAACAGTCGGAACAAACAAGGCAGGGACAGACACACAGGCAGATGATGGATGGAGCAGGCATGCTGTTGGCGCTGGGGGCCATTAACAGCAGTTCACTGTGCTCTGTGTGTACATTGGGAAAAGTAAAAACAAAACAAACATGCGCATACCCAAAACAAAGCCTGCGGGTAGATCCAGCATCTAAACACCACCCGCATCTGAGGAGTATGTTGAACAGCAATGATGAAATAAGCTAGATAAATAAGCTAAACAGTTCCTCTTAAGAGAAAATCAGAAGACAGGAACAGATGCTCTTACATAAGGGTGCTGGAGGAGGAAGTTTGCTGGACAAAGTACATGGTTCAAGTCCACAGTAGGAGACGGGTCAGGAAGCCTGCCTGCCCTCTAATCTGGGTCCCTTCAGAAGTCTGGACCCCACCCACAGAAAGTACGGGAAGTGTTTCCACTTAGAAGGGAGGTGCGGCCACAGGTCTGCAAAGGACACCAAGGGAGCCCAACATGGAGGAGAACTGACGACAAGGAGGAGAGCACCGCCACATAAAAAGAACTGGAGTATCTAAACTTTACGCCAGAAACAGCAGCTGAAGCTAAAATGAGAGATGAAGTTATGTAATGAATTAACTCAAAGTTGAAAACTGGTCATTAAATCCTTAAAGGTAAATAATATTTTGGAGGGGGCAAGCTAAGAAGCACACCAGTTACTTCTAAAATTGTAGAGATATGAACACATATAATTAATCTTTCTCAGTGGAAGAACTCTTCCTAGAAAAAGCCAAATGGCACTATTGTGTGATGGTTAAAAGACACACACTCTCTCTCACACTCACACACATTCTCTCTCTCTCTCTCACACACACACACACAAACCTCTCTCTCATACACACACACTCTCACACACACATACACACTCTCTCTCTCACTCACATAGTATTTTAGATAATGATTAAAAGTACATTTGTGCATTTGGCTTCCATGTTTACGATAAATGCTTTTACATGTTTATCAGGGGTGAATACCATTGTCTCATTTTTGCTTTCATTATACATACTAAATTAACTTATATTTAATGCTCTAAAATAATTCAAGCTTATTTCAGTTAACATCACACACACACACAAAACTACACCCATCAAGGGCAGAGAATAAACTGTCCATTTTGGGAGGATGATGCAGTAAGAACTCATTTATTTGACAGTCACAAAACACTGGCATGCCTTCTGTGTGCCAGACACTGTACCCGGTACTGTCTTAGATACCGAGATATAGGGGTAGGAGAAGGCACATTGATTGCAGCTGTCTCAGAACTCAGTACAGGGCAAAAGAGAACAAGACACTGAAACATTTCTCCTCTTTGGGAGAGTACAAGAGCTGAATGTCACCGCTACAGTCTCCCTCAGGCCCATGTCACCGTGTAACTCTGGGAAGATTCAGGAGCAGAAGACCTATTTTATCTATAAAACAAGAACTGCATGCCCCCTTACAAGGACAATCAGAAGAGGGCTCTTGGAAATTAAAAGTGAAAGCCAATGGAATTCCCTGGCGGTTCAGTGGTTAGGACACTCCACTTCCACTGCAGGGGCCACATGTTCGATCCCTGGTCAGGGAAGTAAGATCCTGCATGCTGCACAGTGCAGCCAAAAGAAAAACCAACAAACAACTCTGCTCTCTGCCAAGACTGACCCACCCCCACCCCTGGCCCTCATGCACCTATTCCTGACCTCTCTCATTTAAAGTAATAAATAAAATTTAAAAGTAAAATAAAATTTGCATGACTTTAAAATATATATATATATATGTATAAATAGTACAAAAATTAAAAATAAAAAGTAAAAAAAAAATCTTCTGCTTGTTCCTCCACTCTTATTTCACAAGAATTTCTTCCCACACCTTTTGTCTAAAAATACAAACACACACATATATATATGTAAATACTATTTGATACAAGCAAATGCAATGATGTTCTAAACACCTACAATATCTTATACACACCCTAGTCTATGCACATAAAATACATTTATACTGTTTAAAGTCTCTTAAAGTCAAGGATTCTATGATAGGAAATATTAAGAAACTTAACATCAACTTACCAACACAGTCACAGCACTCATCCCAGAGGGTCCCAAGACACAGCATGCACTCCTTACAGCAGGAGCAGTTTCCTTCTCCAGGGCGGCACTGGCAGAGCTCCTAGAAATGAAGCAGATGCTCAGACTTAAAATTCCAAATAACTACATTTAAAATCTCTACTTTTTTGCAGCAGAAAAGCACTCCATAATATCTGCATTTATAGTAATTTACTCTTGGCACATTATTTTTTTAAATTTAACATCATTAACTATTTGTAGGAACATAAATATCTACAAAGTAGATATTTAGACTTGGAATTAGATTCAAGTACTACTTAGCTCTCAGGAGATTTAGATTTTCTTTTGGACACATTCAATGAATGCATTTTGGATCCTTTTATCTTATTTTGAAACAAAATAAAGAGATTTTACTTCATAATCCATAATTTCATCTCCCATATGAACGCAACACACTCAGTACAAGAACAGAATCCATTTTCCAGCTATTAGATTCATTATAAAATGCATGGCCAGTTGACTTGTAGTGGGAGCTGTGGTTCCTCAATATGTAAAGTGTAAATAACAGCATCTTTTAACAACTAGTTTCATTGATCTAAGCATGCCTGGCGTGGCTGACTGTTTACAAAATGGGCAGCGATCCTTCCCCTCCCCATGTCACCTTCTTTGCAGCTCCTCTGATCAACACAAGGATCTATTTCCAGACCTCTTGAATGGAAGTCATCTTGAAACTTGCTCTGATCAACAGAATCTGGTGGAAGTGATTTAGTGTCAGTTCTGAGTGTGGGCCTGAAAACGGCATGGGTGTTTTCACTCCTTCTCTTAGAATTTTGCCCAGCTGCCATGTGAAGCCCCGGAGAGGGCCACATGGACAAGTCAGTCCATCTGGAGCCACCCCAGCTCAGCCATCCTCCAATCAACCAGCAGCTGACAACAGCCACAAGAATGAGCCCAGAAAACCCACTCGGCAGATAAAGGCCCAAGCTGCTGACCCTCAGAAAGAAAAGCAAAATAAATGGTTATTGTTTTAAGTCACAAAACTTTGGAATGGTTTGCTACTGCACAGAACTAATCAACGTGGCTTGCTTTGCCCATGAAGCTTCAAGGTAATTCCTTTAGCCTCTCCCCTACCCCTCCTCTGGCCACCAGAGCCACTGCGAAACAAACCTAACCTGAGGGAAACTCCGTGAACATATGGCTTACTTGGCTTTCTCCAATTGGTTACATTATATATATACACATATATAAAAACATAGCACAATATTCATCCCTATTAATCTTACTATGTTTCTAGACCATTAGAGTCAATCCATCATTCTTATATGACATAATTTTTTGCAAGATGATATTTCCAGTTTTAGTGAGAGGTAACTGACATATACCACTCGCTGTAACACTGACATACATTAAACTTTCATGTTTAAGGTGTACAGCATGATGGTTTGATTTACATTTATTGTGAAATGATCCCTGCAGTAGGTTTAGCTAACATCCATCATCTCATATAGATAAAATGAAAAAAAAAAAAAAGTTTTCTCCTTATGATGAAAACTCTCAGCATCTACTCTCTTAACAGCTATCCTGTATGTCATATAGCAGCAGTAACTACAGTCACCATGCGGGACATTACAGCCCTAAGACTTACTTTTAACTGCAAGTTGGTACCTTTTGATCTTCCTCCAATTTCCCCTCCCAGTGATCCCACTTCTGGTAACCACAAATATGACCTCCTTTTCTATGAGTTTGTTGGGGTTTTTTGAATGTATTTCATTTAGCACAATGCCTTTAAGATCCATCCATGTTGTTGCAAATGGTAGGATTTCCTTATTTTTTATGGCTGAATGATATTCCACACCCCTGTATGCGTGTGTGTGTGTGTATGTATACAAATATATGCAAATACACACACACACACACACCACAACTTCTTTATCCATTTATTCATCAGTGGAAACTGAGGTTGTTTCCCTATCTTGGCAGTTGTATGTTATGCTGTTATGAACATGGGGGTGCAGAGACCTCTTGGAGTTGGGTTTTTGCTTCCTTTGAATATATCCCCAGATGTGGAATTGCTAGATCATGTGATGTGTGATGGTTCTATTTTTAATTTTTTGAGGAACCTCCAAAATGTTCTCAACAGTGGCTACACCGATTTACATTCCCATCAACAATGCACAAAGTTCCCTTTTCTTCTGAAATTCTTCACCTCTTTCACAACCTGTCCATGTTCCAGCCCCAGCTTCAGAAAGATGATTATCTTCTATATCATTTTTACTTCAAAGTCTCCATCTTAACTAGAGAGCCGGTTGTGCTGAGATGTGGGATTTCTGTGTGGACTGGCTATTTACTAGTTCACTAAACTCCCTGTGACCAACCCTGAGCACCACTCTGTAGGCTGAATGTAGGATCCCAACCAAAGTGGATGTTCACAGAGCCAGAAAGAAAGCCTGACCTAGTGCCTCCACTTTTGTCCTGCCACCACCTCCCCCAGAATTCCTAAGTGGGTTTTATGTAACATTAACAGGCATTGTGCTAAGAGTTTTATATGCATTATGTAGAAGCTCATAAAGCCCTTATCAAGTTATAATTTATCTCTATTTTCCTATAATGTTATGAATTTGTACATCATTCAATTAGTAAGTGGCTGAGACCTGACCCCGGTTTTGGATCACTATTCCTGCTTTTAAAACATAAAGCTTATTAATATAAATAATAATATAAAGCTTCTCATTAATTTAGCATTTCAGTAATTATAGTTATTACTTTCTTAGAACAAGCCCATAATTAAACTTAGCTAACCCTTCAGGTTGCCTAATCAAAGGCACTATTATATCTTTCACTCTTAGTACTTGAATACAATGACAAGTGCTACTGCCCAAGTTTAATCATTGTTTGTAAAGGTAAAATAAGTATCATTGGCATGAGCTGCAAAACCAGTGAGTTGGGATTTAATACCTAATTCTGTTTTTGCTCCAGCCAGTTAATGATTACATCACTGCCTCCATGGTCTGCAAGTCTCAGGGAAAGTGTGGGTGCTGCTCCTGGTCCAGATGAAAGGCTGGAGGGGGCAGACCAGCAACCCAACCCAACTGGGCTCCAGTGTCCTCCTGCCTCAGGGCTGCTCCAGCCCCAAGGCCTCCGCGAGCCAGAGCCAGTGGGACATTCATCTCCACCTCTGCACAAAGTACCACGCTAGGTGTTCTTAAGGCATGGTGATCACACCGTTCAATACAGTTATAGTGGAAAAAACTGAAACCTTATACTAAATAGAAAACAGAAATTTATACGTTTGAGCTATCCTACATTGAACAGCATGAGTATTTACAGATAATTTGGCAATCTGCTTCAAAAGCCTCTATGAAATGAAAACATGGCAGGATGAAAAGTTGTGGAAAGAGTCTAATCATTTAAAATGTATTTTTACTATGTTAGTATCAGTGAGAATCTTGAATATTACAAAGAATTTCAATTTTTTCATGCCAAAAGACAGATTTCATATGATTATTCAATCTTCAGTGGAAAATCTTATTCTCTGTATGACTAAGGTGCTGGTGAGATCTTAATCCTCTATGCAAAATAAATTGGGGGCATTATTCATCTAAGAGTAAGCCAAGACTTAAAGGTTCATTTTATAAACTCTTTATGAAAGAGTTTCATTTTATAAACTCTTTATGAAAGAGTTCATTTTATAAACTTCCATACTTCCAGGTCAGAGATGGAAACTGCTCACTTGAGGGGAATTTTTATTTATATTCTGATGTAAAATTGCTGGTAAATATCTCCACTCTTTAACTGTTGCCAAAATCTGAGAGATTTTGGAAATATCATCACCGGAAACAGCATTAGAGTCTAGTGGACAGCAGACGACTTGGATTTACAGGGTCTGGATTCAAGTCCTAGCCTGCAAATGGCAGCATGTCACAGCAAGTCTGTTTCTCAGAAGCTGTGTGATCCAGCAGTCCCACTCCTAGGTATTTACACAAGAGAAATGAAAACACACATCCACACAAAGACCTACACATGAAAGTAAATAACTTCATTCATCATCAACCCAAACTAGAAACAATCCACGTCCATCAGCGAGTGAACGGATGAAGAAATACACACGACAGAACATCACTCAGCAAGACCAAGAAAGGACTCCCTGAAACACACAGCTGCACTGTCAATCTCAAACGCACTCTGCTAACTGAAAGAAGCCAGTAGGCACAAAAGGGAACACACTGTACGATCCTGTTAGCAGACATTCTGGAAAAGGTGAAATTACAGGAACAAAAATCAACCAGTGGTGGAAAGGTACTGAGGCTGGGGAAGAGGTTAGTCTTGACTCCCTGGGCATGAAGGCACTTTTAAGGGTGATGAAAATATTCCCTATCTCAACTGCTGTAGTGGTTACATGAGCATATAAGACCAATCTTACCCCCCAAAAGCTTTGGAAGACTAAGGAATACCTCATCTCATCTTTGAAGGACCAGTATAGTACACTGAGATCCATAAATTTATTATTTTAACAAATCTGACCTGAAAAGTATAAAGCATTATATAAACATAAACTGGAATTTAAAAAAGTAATGCAGAAGATATTTCTCTATTTTAATTTCAAACTAAATTTCTCTAACATATATTTTTTAAAAAACAAAGAAACATAAAACAATGCTGGTGAAAAATGCAGAATGTGAAAGTTGTACTGATATACAACAACCTTTATTCTATATTTGTGTTAAAAATCACCTAGACATAGAATAAAAAGGACTGTATCAAATATTAAGAGTAGTCAGTATTTAGATTCTAAACAGGACTATAAATTGCTTCCTTTCCTTTTTCTTCTATGTGTTTTGTGGCGTCCCTTTGAGAACACAATATTTTTATCAAGGCAAATAAATTTAAATTTAGGTGGTAGTAGACTTCTTAAGATTCAGTTTAATTGTGTACAGTACAATAAAAAAAATAAGACATTCAAAAACATAAGCTGAGGTCCTTAAATATTAAACTAAACAAACTGATACTATTTATAATATCATGACCTAAAACCCCCAGGAATGTAAGAACAAAGGTAATTATGAAAATGAACACTGTGGGAACATCAGTAACCAACAAACCATC